CCGTCTGTTATGGCCACTTCAATGTTTCATTTTTATTTTTGAATTTCACCCCAAATTATGAATACATGTTAATTTATTTTGAAGGGGTGGTCAAAATCCCTTGCCTCTTCAGTATATATATCATAATATCATTTTAAATGATTATGTATTTCTTTATAAAATCAATAATGAAGTATATTCATTGTTACTTAAACATTTATTGACATAAATGTATTCTTTGTGCTTTTGCTTGTGAAATAATATTCTTAAATGCATGCTGATGTAAGTCACCAGCTTCTTTTAGGTGCACAAGGCCATTTGTCTCTTTCTCTGGTCTCAGGAGAAAGGTTTATGGATCCTAAAGGGCGTCGTGAACACATATGTCCAACACATATGATACTTCTCTGTACAGATGGTCAAGCTATATTGAGCATTGCTTTATTGAACTTTAATTGTTATATTAAACTGTATTCTTTCTATTATATTGCTTTCTGAGAAGCAAATGTTATCTGTTTTTCTCCCAAACGAGTGAATGTTTTACCATTATGTTTTGGTACACTTAACTGATAATAAGACGCTCAGACTCTCTTCAGCCTTGATGGGAGCTCCTATTTGCTAGTGTCCTATGTGAATGTAACAGTGAAAATAATAGGGAATAGGGATTTGGTTTATTATGTTTGAGTGTTAAAACATAAAGGGTCATTGAAGCCAACAGTTTAAGGCACTATTTCTTTGTTGAAAGTCTTACTCCAGTTAGACTAAAGTTTAGTGCTAGTCTTCTTGGTTGCAGGTTAAGCAACCACTGCCATTATTGGGAGATTGAATGAGTTGTTGTTCTGGACACACTGGCGCCAGCAACCCAAATCTGTGACCTGGAAGGTCATGACGTGCCTCATCGATGGAGATATGTTTCGTCTATCTGTATATGTGTGGAAAATTACTGTGTTTATCTATATCTTAGCCAATGAGAATCATTCAACGTGTAAGCAATGACGTAGCTTAGACCTTGGAAACAGTATAACTGCTGTGATTGTTGTAACTGTAAGGGGGCGGCCTACGAACTCCTGAGGGAGTCTTGAAGCTGACTTCTGCTGATGAAATGGCAAACTATGTTCAGTAAAACTTTCTTTAATTTTTATAATTCCGACTCCGGGTCTTCATTCTTCATATCTGGTTCTGGGTCCTTTAACTGTTAACCCCTAACAAGTTTGGTGGAGGATGCGCGGGCAATTATTCTCGTGACACCCCTGGCAAATCAACAAAAGGTAGTAAGCTTTTGTTAATTGATAGGGCTGTCTGACTGGAAGAGATTTGGAAGGAGGTCGGGAGAGTCTTCATTCCGATGAGCGAGTGAAGAAGTTAATTATACTAAAGTTTAAAGTATAAAATGAAGTCGCTGATAGCATTGTTTAAGGTTTAAAGTTAACAAGAGCAGACAGCGCAAGTGAAGCGTGCTTTGTGGGGGCCCCACTGGGCCTGGGCATTGTTGGTGTAGCAACACCCCAGCAAAGTACGTCCCTGGATTGGGTTTAAGTTCCAGGGCACCGCGAACCTACTCTATCTCTTCCATCTCAGATAGGGGTACCCCGAATTTAGTGGATTAGGCAGTTAGGGATACTAACAAAAACAGGGTTGTTTGCCAGGGATGCATCAGGAACGATTCCGGGGAAAAATAAATAAAAAGTTGGGACCCAAATTGGCGTGGACCAGTATATGTAACTGTGATTTTGCAGTATACTTTGCAGTTTCATCACGCAGAAGCCAAGCTGAGTTGTTCAAAGATTGCCGCCTCCATTTCTGCAATAACTTCAGGTGAGTATGAACTATGATTAAGATATGGCAGAAAAATTGGATAACTTAATCAGTAATTTGAACAGTCCTAAAACAAATAGTGCGACAGAAGAGAGCAAATGCTGTAAATAGCTGTGCTCTGAAGCCCTCACTTTGAAGACATTTGCAGAAATTATTAAGTAAATGGTAGACAGGATTTTGAGTCTGAGTGGAAATTTAAACGACAACTTGACTGGTTATAAAGAAACTAAAAGATGAAAATGTTTAGCCTCTTATTGCTAATGATCATTACAAAAAGCAAGTAGAATAAATTCTGGGGCGGGAATAATTTCCCTAGGCAAGTGATTAAAGTTAAACTGAAACTTTGTGAAAACAACTTAGAAATATTTTGAGCATTTCGATGCAGCTTCTGAAAATTAATGTTCTGTCAATAATAATGATGAAGATTATGATTGGGCTATTGTGATTAAATCCGCCACTGGCGGACTGTAAAAGAATACAGAGAACTGCTTATCAGTGGCTCTGTGTGCATTCCTGAATGGGTCACACACTGCTTCAAGTGTGTGCAGTAAGTTGGAGCAGATAGAGAGTGTTTTAATTGTGGTCAGCAGGATCATTTAACGCGTAACTGTAAATGCCCACAGAGAAGGTGTTTCAAAATGTGACAGACAACACATTTCTGGTATTAATGTGGGTTTGGAAGTAGATCCGTGTTTAAATGACTGCATTAACATTTTTCATCTGAGAAATAAGAGATAAAAACTAGGTCAAGAGAGTCCTTTTGAAGAAAAGATCTATAATAGTAATTTTTAAAAGTGAATTGATGAATAGGCCTACAGTTTGATGTAAAATGAATGACTCCAACAAATGTAAGTTGCAAAATATATCAAAGTAACTAAAAGGATGATTGCGTTTTAATTAAACATTTTAAAAAGGTGTTAGATGATCTAGAGAGACTAATCGCACAGATGATTTACAATAACTGCAAAAGTATCACAAGCAGAGAGTGCTTGCCTCGTCAAAGTTAGTGTGAATCCTAATTGGAGACTGATAAACTCCAAGAGAAAACTTAAGTCAAATATTAAGCAATGGTTGAGAACTTGACGATTAAAATTGAGATTGAGAAATGAGAAACGTTATTGAGAACTAGAATAATTATTTTTATTTAAGAACAAATAAGCAGAAGCAGTACTTTATTGGCAGTTGTTGAATGCTGATTAAACAAACAACTTGAGAAGTTGACCATGAAAGAACTAGAAGCCGATGTTTAGCTTTCAAAAAGATAAGTTTGTTTGGGGCTGTAATGAAACAGTTTGCTTATCTGAATCTGGTGTGTGCTGTGGCTGAAAACTGCCAGTGCAACAGAGACTCAATCTGAGAGGAAATTAGTAATGCCTAATTCCCTGATGTGGGCAAAAGACAAATGTAAATAATGTTTATTTGAAACCGTATGTAATTTCTGGCAAAGATGCCTTAAGTTGGAATAGAGTTAAACGATGGGATAAAGTTTGATGTTAGAAGTTTATGAGCGAGCAGTACCAGTACTGAATCCCTCACAGTCTCTCTCTCATTCAATGTCAGCTAAAGATGTTATCTGAGCCTGTGTCATTAGTGATAATAAGCTATTTGTATTAAAACACAGTGTTTCAGTTGAAGATCATAGACACAGAGATGTTAAGAGAAATCATTGCCATTCAGAGGCAATTTGTATTTTAAATGTTTTAAAAGCAAAACTGAAGGACTTTCAAGAAGTCATTAAAATAATATATAGACGAAACTAGATAGATCTTTGACTAGGTTGTTTGTGAACCAATAACTTATTTGTCTGAAAATCTTAGTCCCCACCATGAAACGGGGGCGGGGCTGATGGCTCCGCCTACAGATGAAGTGCACTGAATGTACAGTTGTGATCTAAATCCACTGAGTAGCTAGTTGCTGCTTTTAAGATGGTTAATGGATTTAAGTGATTGAATACTGTTGTTATTAACCTGTCTCCCTGTGTTACAACTATTAGGCAATCCGAATGGCCCTGGTGACTCTTGAATATTTTTCCTAAGCTCCAGAAACAACAGATTTTGTTGAAGAAAACGGTTTTGAGAAAATGGCGGTTACCATGTGTGCACGAGTGGTCATCTCGATGACGGGTAAGACCTTCTTTGGCCAAATAGGAGGCAACCTAAGGCAGGGGGATCACGCAGACACTGGGCATCTCCTGATGGAGGTGTTTATGTGAGGTTGGGTATGAGAGTGGACGGATGTCTGCGAGGCCAACAGCATCCTGTATCGTTAGGGGGGATGGAGCTGTGAGGAGTCACGGCAGTCTGCCCCAGGAACGTAAGTCCCTCTATCCCACTCACCAGAAACCGCATTCACTGCATGGCTTGTTTCTCATTGTGACAAGCTCTATGTATGCCAGGGGACCACACCCTGATGGAGATTATAGATAAAGAGCTAACAGGAATTGGGCTTTCGGGGTTCAGTCGGGGCCATGAAGTGATTCCCATTAGTTGTTGTGGAGACACCAATAAAACTTTTGGATGTCGGTTACCTTATGCAAGGAAAATTATAGTCTAGATTTAGAATATGTCTAACATAGTTTTGACTCCTGAAGGTCGTTAGACATGGTGGTGACTAAAGATGAAGACAGCTTTTATAGATTTAAGAAAAGTCTGGATAACAAAGGTGAATGGTCAAAGGATACTGTAATGAGTTTAAATGTTGTCTAAGTTACAGTCTTAGGAGGCTGTTAAAAAGATTATTTTGTTATAGTGAGAGAGACTTGAGTGGAGGAAGGGATGGAAACTGTGTCCGCCTTTCTGTTTTGGCCTGCTAAAGGAAGCTTAAACAAAATAATGTTAATGAACCAAAACAATCCAGCTGACTGTCTAAAAGTAAATGAATAATAGCAGGCATGCTTTGAAACTGGTTTAGAGACCATAAACAATTAAATAAAAGCTACAAAAAAAAAAATGTTGATTACTAAACTGTAAAAAAAATATTGTTGGTTTAACTTTAAAAAAAAAGTAAGTAACCTGGGTTGCCTTAAAATTTTAAGTTTATTGTGAGTTAAAACAGGAGGAGATTAATTTAATCCTCAGAAACTCAAAATAATAAGTTATCTCAACTAAATAAATTATTATAAAGTTGATTTGACAAAAGAAAATATGTTGTGATAACAAATCTTGAAAATATTTTTTATAGTGTATGAATGTGTGTATATTTTTGGTGACGGCACTTTATGTTTTATATGTGTTGGTTTGGGGACTATTATTTCCTGATTTTGAGGATATTGTATCATTAACCTCTGGAATGAGTGTTTTAACATTACAGATGGGTTAAGTGGAATGACAAACTTTTAAAAAGTTGACATTTCTGAGTCAATCTGATGAAAAGACAATACAGAACATGGGACGAGCTTTAATTGGAGTGGTTTTCCAGCTCTGTCTGCTATTGGTGATTATTAATAATTTTGTCATTTATGATATTGTTCTGAATTACTCTCTGGATTAGTATGTTAAATAAACTGGAATTGTAAAGTTGAAGATTGCCGTCCATTATGGGGTAAAAACTCTTCTCTAAATTCAACTGAGGGTCTACATTTAAATAGACGACTATGTGGGATCTTAATGATAAACGTAAATAAAAGAAATTATAGACTTGACGGCAGAGAGAAAAAGTGACACATTGGCTGAGTCACTATCCAAATTATCCAGAGTGAGCTCCCTCATTTTTTTATGAAAGGCCGGTGGGCGAACAAAGGAGGAGTGAATATAACTTCTTCAGAAGTTTTTATTTCTCAAACCATTGAATGGATGTTTGACATTAGATGTCTAAGAAAACTACAATTTAGTTAATGAAGGTTAAATGAGAAAGCAGCTTTATGGCTGTCTTAGAGGTTGCGATGTGAGTAAGATAATATTTTCGTTTCTGTAAAAGTGTAAAGATAAGTGGGACTGGGATATTATTGAGATACTGATAATATTTTTGGACTTCTATTTTTCTAACATTCTTTAGACTAACCATTTGAAAGACAAATACTGTAAAAAGTAGTTATAAGGAAAAATAAAGTTGAAATTAATGATAAGAAACCAAGGGTATTGAAGAATTAATAAAATAAGTGTCACTAGGCTGACAGCGGTGAGAGACTTGTTGGAAGAGGGAAGTGAAAAACAAAAAGGTTGTTTTGTGAGATATGTTTGTGTGGATTGTAAGCAAACAATTATATTGATCAGATGAGTAGTGTAGGTAAATATTTAAAGATAGAAGAAATATAGGTTAAATTACGTTTAAATGGTATGAAATATTTCAGAATAAAAATAAGGCATTGTATGATTAACAGGGTTTAACGTGATATAAAGATAAGGAATGGACAAAAGCTTTATTAAGCAGAATGGGGAAAATTCTGTATTTTAGTGGTAAAATAATAATTAAACTGATGATGTGGATTTGTTTTATTTTATTACTATTTTTGAAACAATAATAATAAAACAGGTGTAAGATGTTATACAATTAAACTGATACATGCTTTGTGACCGTAAACTGATTGATAATTTCAGTAAAGACTTAAAAGTGCTTGAATCGATCAGTATCAGTAATCTTATTAATATTTTATTTTTTTGTTGTTATAATTTTTGTTAGACAACCATTGTGTTTTGAACCTAAAGGGTCTATAAAGGGGGTAGTGAAAATAATGGATTAACTATCCAACGTTGTTTATGATAAAAGGATTTGAAAATTATGGTTTTAAATAAATGAATAAAAAATAGTGCTTATATTCTGGTATTCATGATTATAGAATGTCCTTATTTAGGATCTGACTAGTGACTGCGGGTCTAGCCCATGCTAGGAATACCGCAACAGTGCTTGTTTATTTAGCCCGGCTTCCAGAGAATAAATATGTACTTGTTTCGTAATCAGTTATGTGTTTTATAAAAATGTTAACCTGACTGATAAATTAAGGAAGGATGACATTGATGTCCTGTTGTGAGTGGAAGGTGGGAGAGCCTCTTAATGGGGACTGGAATTTTTAGTATCCAGCATGTCCGTGACGAGATGAAGAGACAAGTGTGACCCATCAGGGGAGCATGCGTCACCACTCCCCCTTTCCGTAGTGACCTCACTGGTTAGACCAGACGTGGCGGTATTGGACCCCACATTGGTCTAAAACGGGGGACTGAAGGGGTGGTCAAAATCCCTTGCCTCTTCAGTATATATATCATAATATCATTTTAAATGATTATGTATTTCTTTTATAAAATCAATAATGAAGTATATTCATTGTTACTTAAACATTTATTGACATAAATGTATTCTTTGTGCTTTTGCTTGTGAAATAATATTCTTAAATGCATGCTGATGTAAGTCACCAGCTTCTTTTAGGTGCACAAGGCCATTTGTCTCTTTCTCTGGTCTCAGGAGAAAGGTTTATGGATCCTAAAGGCGTCGTGAACACATATGTCCAACACATATGATACTTCTCTGTACAGATGGTCAAGCTATATTGAGCATTGCTTTATTGAACTTTAATTGTTATATTAAACTGTATTCTTTCTATTATATTTGCTTTCTGAGAAGCAAATGTTATCTGTTTTTCTCCCAAACGAGTGAATGTTTTACCATTATGTTTTGGTACACTTAACTGATAATAAGACGCTCAGACTCTCTTCAGCCTTGATGGGAGCTCCTATTTGCTAGTGTCCTATGTGAATGTAACAGTGAAAATAATAGGGAAATAGGGATTTGGTTTATTATGTTTGAGTGTTAAAACATAAAGGGGTCATTGAAGCCAACAGTTTAAGGCACTATTTCTTTGTTGAAGTCTTACTCCAGTTAGACTAAAGTTTAGTGCTAGTCTTCTTGGTTGCAGGTTAAGCAACCACTGCCATTATTGGAGATTGAATGAGTTGTTGTTCTGGACACACTGGCGCCAGCAACCCAAATCTGTGACCTGGAAGGTCATGACGTGCCTCATCGATGGAGATATGTTTCGTCTATCTGTATATGTGTGGAAAATTACTGTGTTTATCTATATCTTAGCCAATGAGAATCATTCAACGTGTAAGCAATGACGTAGCTTAGACCTTGGAAACAGTATAACTGCTGTGATTGTTGTAACTGTAAGGGGGCGGCCTACGAACTCCTGAGGGAGTCTTGAAGCTGACTTCTGCTGATGAAATGGCAAACTATGTTCAGTAAAACTTTCTTTAATTTTTATAATTCCGACTCCGGGTCTTCATTCTTCATATCTGGTTCTGGGTCCTTTAACTGTTAACCCCTAACAATTTGTATTGGGTTTGTATTATTTACTTGTGTATTTTATGTATATTTCTACTGAATTGTAATATTGGCACCCCCTTTTATTGACATATATAACTAGTCACAGAATATGGCACTGAATCAGTTTTCAACAGCAATGTAAATGTGCGGGTGTTACTGCAAGACTAACGATCTAAAGAAGATATTTTAAAGAAGGTAAGCCATTGACTTCCATGGCCTAAATACTATGCAAGTCAATGTCTACCGTCAAGTGTCTGGTTAACAACAATCTTTAAAATATCTTCTTTTGTGTTCAACAGAAGAACAAAACCTCATAAAAGTTTGGATTTGGAACAACTTGAGGTTGAGTAAATTATGACAACATTTTCATTTTTGGGTGAACTATCCCTTTAATGGTCCAATGCTTCTACAAGGTCTAAAAATGATCAAGTGTGACATTAACGTGCAGAGTGAAACACAGAAAACAAGGGAACAAGCAGGAATACACAATCGGAAGGGGCAGAGACGGCACTGGGATGTCACTGAGGGATAGAGTGGAGACAATATGGGCAGAAGAAGGAAAAGACACGAGGGGGGTTTGCCTACATTTTCACCAAATCGCCATCTTTCAGCGTGTAGTCTGGGTCGCTCTTCAGGGGAGAGAAGTGGCAGACACAGTTATTGACTGACACACTGGTGGGGAACGCAATGCCTGCAAGAAAGGACAACCACCAATCCTCAACAAAAAAAAAAAAAGTTCTGCATAATTTGTGAGGAGAGAAATATTTCAAATTAGACCATCAGATTTCTCTGAAGGAGACTAAACCTGAATGGGCTCAATGGGCTCAAATGGGCTCTAAACCACAAGCGTTTAACAACATCTACCTTTCTTCATGTCCTTCTCCCTCTTAAAGATCTTCCCAGTCTCTGCCATGATAAAAGCATCTCCTTTCTCACAGAGGCTGAGAACTGATACTCCTGGTTTGGCTGCCTCGATGACCACTCGCAACGCCTCTAAAGAGAGAAGAGCATAAAAATAGACACTAAAGGTATGGTACGCAAATTTCAGCAAAATGTCAATAGTGTACCAATTAATGAAGCATGGCTCACAAAAAAGTTACTTTGCGAATCCACACGACCAACTTGAACCTGCTGTGAAATTTGTGTGGGGAAATAGCTCTTACTGGAAATTCCCAATAGTGTGGATTCCTACTAAAATAACTGGATTCGGTCCAAGACAAGTTATATAAAATTTCCCAATGCTAAGACTACATTTGAATTTACTTGGTTTAAAACCTTTTCAAAAGTATCTACAGAGTAAAACAAGTTTCTTAAAGGGGTAGAGGTATTACAGCCCAGCAAAATATGATTAATGGACATTGGATTCTGACAAGATGAACACTGATGACAGTTGACTTTTATAGTAGAAGAAAAAAAATACAATGGAGTCAATTTGTATGGTTACCAACATTCTTTGGTTCAACTTGAATGTGAATAAATGATGACAGAACTTTAATTTGTGGGTGAACTATCCCTTTAATACTTTTTAACATCGGATTTAAGGACATTGTTTCCTTAAAACAAAAAACTGTTCTTATACTGTGTTGGGACGCCACTTAATGTCCCAAATAAAATTCCTAAAATTTCAAAAACAAAGTCCTGAAGAAAAAAACACTTATAAAGGACTGTCACACTTTTAATTCTATTGACTTCCATTCATACACATGCAAATGCGCGAGACAGGAAACGCAAGATCATGTGAATTTCACTGTTTAAATGTTAAAGTTTGTTGAACTCTGACCACATGACGATGTGTGACTAACAGAAGTGTGTTAATGTTAAAAACCGTCGCAGTGTCCATAGAAATTTTGTGTGCTCGAAGTCTGGGTGGCTGAGGCTTAAAGGGTTAGTTCACCCAAAAATGAAAATCCTGTCATCATTTACTCACCTTCATGACGTCCCAAACCCGTAAGACTTTCGTTCATCTTCAGAACCAAAATGATGATATTTTTGATTTCATCTCAGCGCTTTCTCAGCACATCTCACCACTGTGATGCTTCAAAACTTTTATAAAGAGATTGTACAACTAATAATAGGAATTTAACTAATCCATGAGACTCAATCACTTTATGATGAACAGATTTAATTTAGGCTTTTATCCACATATAAATACTGATCAGCAAACATAAACAGAAGCAAAACCGAACCTGCTTGATGCTCAAGTACAAACCTCAATGGTTCTTGCTGAAGCTCAAACGTGCGGCGTAATACAATAATGGACCTCATTGGTTCTTGCTGAAGCTCAAACGTGCGGCGTAACACAATAATGGACCTCATTGGTTCTTGCTGAAGCTCAAACGTGCGGCGTAACACAATAATGGGCCTCATTGGTTCTTTCTGAAGCTCAAACGTGCGGCGTAACACAATAATGGGCCTCATTGGTTCTTTCTGAAGCTCAAACGTGCGGCGCGTAACACAATAATGGACCTCAATGGTTCTTGCTGAAGCTCAAACGTGCGGCGTAACACAATAATGGACCTCATTGGTTCTTGCTGAAGCTCAAACGTGCGGCCTAACACAATAATGGACTTCAATGGTTCTTGCAAGCCAAGCGAGCTTCCATTTACCACAACTGATGTGTGTGTTGATGAATGATTGAGTAAATAAAAGCCTAAATTCAATCTGTTCATCATATAAAGCGAGTCTGTTTACAAAATTTGGACAAAACCGCTCGATTCATGGATTCATTTTACGCTCTCTTTATGAACTTTTTGAAGTGTCCTTGTGGTAGTTGCACAGGTCAGGTGAGTACAGAAAGATCTCAGATTTCGTTAATTCACAAAAATCTTACCGGTTTGGAACGACATGAGTAATTAATGACAGAATATATTACTGGGTGAACTATCCCTTTAACACAAAGAAGATTTGCAGATAACAGGTTCTTGAGCTTATATGATGGAATGAACTTCTCAAAAGATCTCAATTTCTTCTCAACAAAGACGAGAAATGTGACAAAACTCCAAATCACGGAGTCATCAATGGAGCTCAAAGAGTAGTGCACTACCATTCAAGTTCACTGTGCAAAAAATACAATGACTTATAGTCATTGCCACCGACTGTTCAGGAGTGATAATGTCAAAACAAAAGCTCCGTCAGCATCCCCTCAACATCTTCATGATGTTCACTGCCTGTGTAAGCAATGTTGACAGATAGGATGGGAAAGCCCTCAAGGCATTGATCTTCAATAGTGGACATACGCATGTAGAAAGCTCACACATATGCTATGCCTTTTAGGACTAACCCCTAACAGCTGGCATTGCGAGAGCCACAAGTGTCTACTCACTGACATGCACTGGGAGCTAATGCTAGCTAGCATTAGCTCCAGAAAGAGTCCCTCCATGGAACAGGAGGAACAGGAGCACTGAAGGAACAGTCATGCATTTAAAACAGGTCTTCAGCGGCTGCATATTGCATAAGGTCAGAGCGCTTGGATCTGATGTCCCGCACTGTTCATCTCGTTCTAACACATGGCATGCACGAGAGAGCAGCGTGGAGGCCCGTGTCACCGACTCAACACCTCCATCACTCATAACGTCAAACTCACGGTTGGCAATGTCACCGCCCATCTTGTATTTGGTCACGACCAAGTCCTCCGCGATGGTCTGCTCTTGCTGTTCGTCGTCGGACATAATTGTACCGGCTCTCAAAACGTCTCTCTGTCAGTACGTCGTTGAGCGGACAGCAGAAATCAGTCACGCTACCACAGTGGCTCGCCGTCCGTCAGGCTCCGCCCACGGCTTCCACGCACAGCGTAGCCACGCCCACTACGCAGCTACAACGGAGGTGTCGTCATATACGATGGCGCCAAAAGCCAACCGAGGCTTTTGGATATTTTCCAAAAAGGTCATAATAGTAAAAATATATGATTGAAAATGCCACAAAGCATTAACAAATCTACATATATATATATATATATATATATATATATATATATTACTTAATCATAAGCTAAAGTAGGCTATAATACAGTCAGTGGCATCTGTGAAAATTTGACAAGTTCATGGAAAGGATAAAGATCAAATTAATTACTCACCCACTAATAGGTTCTCCATAACCATTTGAAACACAAACACACAGCATAAATAAATCTGTCTGGCTGTTCAGGAATTGTCTTTGTAGTTCTTACTATAGCTATAAACTAATATTAAAATTTGTTGAGAAACTACCACACAAAAAATGTGGGAGTATGAGAGCAAAGGTTTATATAGAAACATTTTTTTATTAAAAGTGTAAGACAACAGGTTTCAAACAGTAAATAAAAATCATTTCAAACTGTTACAAAGTTGAGAAAATACTTTAGTTTGATATGTTTGTACAAAACTATAGTTTCGCTGTAAAAGCTTGTTTACTGGCCATTTCATTTGAAATATAATACAAGTACTTCATTATGATTTGTTCATAAGGCATGCACAACACCTCTCAAAGAAAAACAACTTCACCCAAACTCAGCCAATATGCTATACTGACATTATCAAAGAATTATTTGATAAATTCCAAATGTAAATATCCCAGATTTGACATTGGGGGATCATTCGAGTGCAATCTGAACAGACGCACAGTGGTGTGGAAGTAACAGCTATTGACTGAATTGGGCACTTCATGAACACTAGATAACATATATTTAAGAAGAACACAAAAGCACAAACAGCAAACTTATGGCTTCACTCGATGAGTTACACAAACTTGGCATTAACAGAACATTTTAAGTAACCACACTCTTACATACCATACATACACATCAAGATGTAGCCTAATGTAAAAATCAGTGCTTTCAACATGAAGCTCATTAATCTGGTAATTCAGGGACCTCCACCATACACTCTTAAAAAATAAAGGTTCTAAAAGAGGGTTTTCACAGTAATGCCACAGAACGGGTGTCCGATCCTGGAGATCTATGAGATCAACCCTGATCAAACACACCTGACTATCAAGAGTTCAGCTGCTTCAGTTGGGTTTGATCAGAGGTGGGACTGAACTTTACAGGGAGGTAGATCTCCAGGAACAGGATTGTGCATCCTAGCCATAGAAGAACCATTTTGGGTTCCCTAAAGCCAATTCACACTGCACTGACAGACGCCGACCAAGGACAACAGATACTTCGTCAGGTTTGCTTGGATCCATGTGTTACCCCTGTTGCTCAGTCAGCTTTTGTTTTTGCCGATCAATCGTCTGTTGGGTTGTGGAATGTATAAAAATTGGCTGTAATCTGGTGATTGTCCGTGTTAGTCTGCGTCTGTCGGTGTAGTGTGAATTGGCCTCTAAAACCTTTAAGAATAATTATTTTCTTATTTTCTTTTCTTACAAGCACTTTTGTAGTTTCCACCATTGAGAACCTTTTGTGGAATGGAAAGGTTCCATGAATGTTAAAGGTTCTTTATAGAACCATCAATGCAGAACCTTTCCTCCGGCGCAAAATGAACCTTTGGTCTAATAAAACTTATTGACTCTAATAAAACCACATTAATGGCACTTTTTGTTTTTACATCAAGAATACATTTTACATCAAAATACATTTATTTTGTCATGGTTGTATCAGTTTTATCATGGATCTGTGTCAGTAGAGTGCATTATTGACTAATATCCTGACCATCGGTCACGGAAGACAGTTCAACCTGCGTTTGTTCATTTGCATCAAGTTCCTTCAATCCATTCTCCGCCTCTATGTGCGGACAGCATTGGTTTTGTGAAACGACCTGCTGTGCCAGTAGTCAGGATTATCAAAAGCTTTATGTTCCATCCCTGCACGCACTTTTACATACGCTCCAGGCCCCGGTCCCCCTGAACACTCCCCGTCCCTCAGTCCCACACTCTCCTCGTCTTCTCCCTCCATGTTCTGGTATTCAGCTTCCGAGGCTCCACCTGCAGCCAACGAGTCCATATCCTCATATTCATACACTTCTCCTTCCCCTTCCATTAACCCCTGCACCCTGAGTGAATTCCTCAGCCGAGGCTGGCTGTTCGTGTACTGATAGTCATCCTCCACATATTCGTCTTCATTGTCTTGTGGCGATCTTTTGAGAAGAGGGTGGGAAACTGGTCTTGGGAGGTGAAGTTTGACAACCATGTTGGTTGGTGGTCCTCCTCCTCCTCCAGCATGGATGTCCATGTACTCGTACTCAACCTCCTGAAGATCTAGATCCGCATCCATGTACTCGGCTTCACTGGAGAGGAAATCGCCATCGCTGTGACTCCTTTGTTCAGTCGAGGACTGGGAGAGACCTCCGCTACTTTCTGAGCCCTCGATCGACGACCTCTTACTGGGTCTGCCGGAGCCTTGAGATTTGTGATTGCTGTACAACCCTGCAGGGTTGAAGGAGGCACTGCGGTTTCGGGGCGGTCGCTGATTGTAATCTTTAAGCAGCCCTGGTATATGACTAAGTGAGAGAGTCTGGTTGTTCATATACTCGTATTCTTCACCTGGACCGTTGCGGACTTCTAAAAAGTCACCCGAATGACCTCTTGACAGTTTCCTTTGAGAACGTGTTGAACGTGATGATGGTAATAGAAGAGTTTCTGAAGAAAATCATAAAGCAAGACATGTGTTAACAGGAGTACTCATAAATATGAAAGTCAATGTCCACCTCAGATAAAAATAAATAAATAAATTAATTGCGATTGCGACTTTATTTCTTATTGCCATCAACCAAACCAATCGGCTATGATGTGAATCACAACACAACACAATCAAAACAATTATTTGAAGCAAAAAAGTATTTGAAAATCAGACAAAAACTTAACAACTGTAATGAGGGAAAGAATTACAATCCCATGAAGCATTGTGAACAACTTAATCGAATTAAAAACAATATATAAAACTATTAATTTAAAGTTGTTGATTGGTAAAATATAAAATAAAAATATAAAAAATATAGGTATAAGTGTTTTGAGAATATAGGGGGACCGACTCAATCATAGATATCATAGAAGGCTAGATGTCTTACGATGGAGTCTTTATCGCCATCACCGTCGGCCATCTTGTCACAGGCAAGCTGATGTAAGATGAGTGATCAGCACAAACACAAATACTCTTATCTCGTTGAAATTTTGACGGATTTTCAAACGGTTTGGTTTCTTACAAATGTTATGCAAATGGCTATAATTCGGGATGATTATTCATTTACACTTAATATTCATAAGTATGCAGTGTCATAATTACATCTCTGACGTTTAGAACAAACCAAACCGTTTGAAAATCGGTAGAAAATTGGTTTAAATAACCAAGTTATGGTTATTTAAAAAGTACACGCACCATTGAAACACAATGTTACGATTGAGCGAACTGCCTGTGACAAGATGGCCGCCAGGTGCGGATGTCACAGGACCTTACAAAGTTGACTCGTCAACATTTTGCAAAAATTATATAAAAGTTACATGCACACACATCTCTCTAATTTGCTTATCCTCACCTTTCTCAGGGCTTTCACCAAATCCAGGTAACACATATTCACTTTGGTCCTCTTCGCCTGTGGAAATTGTTTCTGGAGGCCCTGATAGGCTGTCCCGCTGCGACATGTAAGCGCTGTCCTCGCGATGTGTGACCCTCCTCATGCTGCCAACCAATGAGAAGTCATCGTTCATTTCCAGTTCCACTGCAGTTCCCTGTCCCTCCGAGCTCACAGAAACAGTGCACGCAGAGTCCAGTCGGGAACGAGAAGCCCATCCCGTCTGCAGCAAAATGAGGTGGACAATATATTGAGCTATTATAAGTGGTGTTAAGGCATACGCTGTAATATATGTGCAAGTCCATTATTCCTCGTTCATAACCCATCAAATGTTGTTTCTATATAGATGGTCTCAGCCTAAAACCATTGTACCAAAATGAGCTTTAGACATTATTGTGAACCACTGACCTGTACAGAGCTCTCCACACCAGGGATCATTGGTAGATATCCAGCAATATTGGAGGGAGTCAGACTTGACTGGTGTAATAATAAAAAGAAAAGCGTCAAAGTTATGCTGTTTAATTTGTAATTCAAACACCCTCCATAAATCATCTGACTATATACAGTGCGTTTTTGAAGGAAATTAAGACTTTTATTTAGTAAGCATGCATTAAATAGATCAAAAGTGACATTTCAAACATTATCAAAGAATCCTGGAAAAAAAATGTGTAATGTTTTCCACAGAAATATTAATTAGTGAAGTAATGATGCTCAAAATTCAGCTTTATCATCACAGGAATAAATACAATTTTAACATAAATTAAAATAGTAATAATGTTTCACAATGTTCCTGTTTTTATTGTATTTTTTTATTACAAAATGCAGCCTTGCTGTGTATAGAATCTTCTTTCAAAAACATTGAAAAATCTTATCCCACGTTTTTGAACAGTAGTGTCTGTTAGTCAATTTTCAAACCATTATGTATTGATCATGGTCAATATTATATAACGTACCCGATGAGAATCAATACGCAGTCTAGAGAAGCTTCTAGATGGTGTTATATAGCGTGGCATGTCTATCGTATCTTCCAAGACTTCATCTTCCTGGTCCTCCAGGGCCACCCCTAGAATGTCCATCTCAGTTCCTCTCTGATGGGACTCATCTGAGGCCGAGTCAGGAGCTCTGTACTCCTCCTAGTGGAGGAACATCAATCAACAACGGTCAGCCAAACAGTTCCAAGTTCTGACATAACCAGAAAACAATGAAAGTGTCCGTTTGCCTTACTTTGATGACAAGATACCGAGAAGGGTCTCGGGCCATTCGGGTAAACTCATTGGCTAGCTCCTTAAAAGTTGGCCGAACATTTTCATCAATCATCCAACCTGTTTAAATATTTGCATTAGGAATGCACTGATATATGCATATTCTAACTGATACATGGTCAATAGCAAATAGATGGAAGTTCAAAAATGTCTTGAGCACCACATAAGCATATCAGAAGGATCATGTGACACTGAAGACTAGAGTAAAGATGCTGAAAATTCAGCTTTACCATCACAGGAATAAATTACATTTAAAATATATGTAAAATGTTTAAATAATATTTCACAATATTACTGTTTTTACTATATTTCACTATATTTAAGAGACTTCTGTCAAAAAATGTTGAATGGTATAGAGCAAATTCTATAACATTTTGTCAAAATCCATTAAAATAATAAAAAAGCAATTATTGTGAAATGCAAGTGAATTGAGAATAACAACATTATAATGTACAGTACGTAAATTTAATAATTTGTGTTTTTAAAAATTCTTCCCGGCAATCTTTCCAGAAGCTTTCGTGCAAACATGCCCTGCTAGATGTTTTATGAAATGGGATCAAATTCAATAGCATACTGTAAGATCAGTTCCACTTTGCATTATGGGATATAAGAAGACTCACATTTGACCATGACCATGTAGACATCGATGGTGCAGATCTGAGGTTGAGAAAGCCGTTCCCCTTTCTCTAACAGATCAGGTACTTCTTGTGGTCGCATAGCAGAGTATGGCTCTGCCCCATATGACATCATTTCCCAGACTGTCACACCTAGAGATAGAGAGGGCTTTTATTGAATCTCCAGCTCCAAAGTGCAGTATTTTACAGTACCATTTAATCTTGCAACACTCACCGTAACTCCATACATCACTCTGGTGTGTGTATCTGCGGAACAAGATGCTTTCAAGAGCCATCCACTTAATTGGCGTCTAGGATTTACAAACATTAGGAAAAAATGTCAGTTACAGAGTAGAGATTACTGCAGTATATCGTAGCAGTACATATACACTTCATACACTAAGAGTTTTTAAATGTTGTTAAAAGAAGTCTCTTCTGCTCACCAAGGCTGTTTATTTAATCAAAAATAGAGTAAAAACAGCAATATACAGTAATTACAATTTAAAATAACTGTTTTCTATTGTAATATATTTTAAATTTTATTTCTGTGATGTAAAGCTAAATTTTCAGCATCATTGCTCCAGTCTTCAGTGTCACATGATCCTTCAGAAATCATTCAGATTTGATACACAAGAAACATTTCTGATTATCATCGATGTTGAAAACAGTCGTGCTGCTTCATATTTTTGTAGAAATTATAAAATATATATATATTTTCACGATTCTTTGATGAACAGAAAGTTTCATTTGCAATAGAAATAACATTATACATTTCTTTACTGTAACTTTTGATCAAGTTAATGCAACCATGTTGAACAAAAGTATTAGTTGTTTTAATCGTACTTACCCCAAACTTTTGAATGGTGGTGTATTATGGTTCAAAATATTAAGGAGCACAATTGTTTTCACCATTGATAATAAAAAGAAATGTTTCTTTAGAGAAAATATTTTAATAATACTTCACAAAATTGCTGTTTCACTGTATTTTTGATCAAATAAATACAGCCTTGGTGAGAATATGACTTTTCAAAAACATTAAAAAAGCTTTATTATTCCTAACTTTTGCCTGGCAGTGTAACTTGTAAGTCTGCTTTACCTTAACTTCATTGAAGAAGTATTTCTTGTCGTCAGGGTAAAGGAGGTCAGCGATGCCATAATCAGCTATTTGAACGATAAAGTCACTCTTGAGCAGAATGTTGCGGGCAGCCAGGTTCCTGTGGACCATTCTCTGCTCCTCTAGATAGTACATACCCTAGAGGGAGCAAGTGAGGAAAGACTTTAGTTTGTTTAAGTGGGCTTGAAATGATCTCAATACCTGAATACCTCAAAACACATAGCCAGACTTTCTGACCCACTCACCTTGGCAATCTGCACACACCAGTTGAGCAGTCTCTGAGGGTTGAGACCGTCTTTGCGCTGGCGGATGTGCTCCAGCAACGACCCCTGTGGACTGAGCTGAGTGACCAGCTGCAGACTGGGTCCCGGACAGATGCCTAAGAGCCGCACTATATACGGGTGGTCCAAACTCCCCATAGCCAACATATGCTGCGAGACAGAACAGAAATCATTCCGAATGTAATTTTGTGTGTATGCTGTTTTTTAATGTTTTTTTTTTATTAATGGATGGTTACCATTGTGACAGAGTAATACATATTAATAGTCTTATAAATGTCTTATATATCTCACTATGAACAAATAACAAATTCAAATTAAATGAACATGAATTGTGTTCAATTTATTAATCACAGTGCAGCCTAATCCAAAGTTTGGGGTTGGTGTGATTTTGTACTTTTGTGAAGTCTTGTACTCAACAAACTGCTTTTGAGTGATCCAGAAATACAGTAGATTTGATAGAAAATGATATTTTAAAATGAATTAAAGTAGTAGGCTAAACAACTAATTAAAATTGTAATAATATTTCAAAATATAGGCTGTGAGTAGTATTATTTGCTCTCTGTCTTTAGCTCATAAACACACACACACACACTCAGAATGTCTATCAAGTGAACAGAAGGGACAGTTAGATTGTAGAAATCACTCAGTTATTTCACTTCTGTCTGTTGATTTTTAAACGCACTGTGTACTTTATTTTTTGCACGTATAATAAATAGAAGATTGAGGGGTTTTTTGACACTTTTTGGAAAGATTTGTGTGCGTGTCTTACATCTGTAAGTTCCTGAAAGGTCTGTCGTCCTGTACGGTCTTGGATAGTCTTGATGGCCACTGGAATCTTTACTGTGTCTCCTTCTGGTATCCAAACTCCCTGTGAAGATACAAACGAAAAAGGAGAAGGAGCCAAAATAAAAAAGACACCAATGTATTAGGAAAACACCTAGAGAAAATGGTTCAGTAACTTATACGAGTTATTGTCAGGTTTCAGTATGAGCTCATGTAATGACATCAGAGTGTGTAAGTACCTTGTGCACAGAGCCAAACACTCCAGAGCCGAGAAGTTTGATCTTTCGTAGTTCAGACCCTCTCAAAATCCGAGCGTGAACTTTCACGCCTTTTTCTCCGGGTTCCAGTGGTTCAAAACTCTAAATGCATTTTTAAACGTTATATGCAACACTTCAATAATTCAATTTGTTGAATTCATTTTGACTATATGCACACACCTCTCCACTCTGCAGATATCTCCTCATGGCACGTTTTTGGCGGATAGCAACACTTCTGCGATACAGAACACTCAGCACAAACACTGAGAATGCGACCATCACCCCGAATATAACGCTCAGCACTATTGCTGTCACCGGCAAGCTGCAACACAACATGTTTACACCATTACATGCCGGCTGGCAACTACAGGTGATACACCGATCGCACCAGCAGAGGGAGACACTCACCCAGCAGCTGACCTGGAGGAATCCACACAGTCATTCTGACCTGGACCCAAGCATCTGAGATAGAAAATATACAGAATTAATTGACGGCAAAAATATTATAGTTACAATGACATGCACAACATGTATTTTATTGCACTTTAATTGAGCCTCCTCACCCCAGGGTGCAGTTGGCATGGCATGGTTGGCATTTGTGCTGGCCACTGGGGAACTTATAAATGATTAGCCCATTTTCCCCCTGAACCCCCTCTGGACACGAGGACACGCAGTACGGCCCGTCCTGCAAATGCACACATGCTTCACACTCATCAGCACCCTGCAGGACAGATGAGATGGAGAGATTACGTAATAAATCAAACAATCTGTGCAAACAGCGAGTGGCATTCTACCAAAGAACAAAAGATTACCGGTCCTCTGCAGGTGTGTTTGTAGTGCTGCACCGCACACTCCTGGTGACACGGCATACACTCTCCTTTAGGTCCTGCAAACTCGCGTTTTTCACTGTGGAGAGGTTCAGAAAATCTGTTTTCTCAAAGCAATAAATTATTATTTTTTTCTTCTTAACTACAACTCACATATCAAAAGGTCCCTTTGGGAGTGTTTCAGGCCTTGTCAAATAAATTCAAAAACAGTTTATGAAGCGCTGTCAAGAGCATGCCACACCAGCAGGCGGCGATATAACCCTAACCGTAAAGACACGTTGGCCGAGTGCTGAAGTGATGACGTCACTTTGTAGGACAACTCGGAAGCCAAATCGCAAAAAAAAAAAAGATCTGTGTTTAACAAAGAGTTGTGGCCCTTACACGTTTTGTCTATCAAGATATCAGTACAAGTTAATCCAAAATTTATACATTTTGAAGCCTATTGAGTTTTTAAAAAAGACACAATAAAGTTTAAAAACTGCAAGCTGGTTATAACTGTGTGTTCTATGTCATAGATCAAAACGTGAAAATATTTAGAGGCTTTTCTCACCACAGACCTTATTTCAGGCGTTTTATCAAAAACCCATTCAAAAATCCCATAGACTTTAGAGCGAGGGAACCGGTAGTGCTAAAATGCTAACTCACTCCCGCGTTTTGGCCTACAGAGTGACGTCGTAACTTCGGTACTCTATTACAGGTTCCAGTAGGCGGATAACGGCACAGCAGAAGCGCATACTCTGACGTTGCAACGCAAAAACCACGGTTTTACTGTCTACATGACAACACTGTAAGGTTCCGACGTTTCTGAAAATCCTCACCCTGGCAGGGGTTTTCAAAAATATTCGGTTTCAGTGACCTGATACTGCGTTTCTGTGTGGACGAACGGCCGAACCAAGTAAAAAAAGTCACGGTTATAAAAAATACCGGTGTCCGTGTGGACAAGGCCTCAATCTCTCTAGTTTACTACCCAGGGAGTTGGGCATTTCTAAGCACCGTTTCAATGTCAAAATCATTCCAGTACACTGAAATGTTCATTCCAGAGAAATTCCACTGATTTCACAATAGACCAGAAATATCACAACCCTTTCAGCTTCTTTGTCATCAGAAATGGTTATGAACGCATATGTCATACACAGTTACAATGAAGATGCATGCCAATACAGTACTATAGGGAAATTTTGGTGCCGAATGAGAGATACTGACCCTGACAGGAAGTTGCAGTGTGGTACACATGTTCCTCCTCTGCTGTAGTTCTTGCAAGACAGACACTGATCGGGTCCCGGACCCCAGCAGCCCTCAGATGAACACAGGGGATCACACGCATGGCCTTCTTTAACTACAAACACACAGCAATACTGAATTTGAGACTTTTTTAAATAGTCAGTAATGATTTGATTAGTGATACAGATATTTAAAGGGTTCATTCACCCAAAAATTCTGTCATTAATTACTCCCCCTCATGTCGTTCCAAACCTGTAAGGCTTTCGTTCATCTTCGTGGAACAAATGAAGATATTTTTGATGAAATCTGAGAGATTTCTGTCACTTCATTGACAGCTACGCAACTACCATTTTGACGCTTCAAAACGTTCATAAGAGAGTATGAAACTAATCCATGAATTGAGCAGTTTAGTAAAAATTTTCTGAAGAGACTAGATAACTTTATATGCCAAACAGACTGAATTTAGGCTTTTATTCACATTTAAACATTGATTAGCGAACATAAACAGAAGCTCAGCTGAGAACAAACCTCTCGCAGAAGCTCAAACGTGCTGCGAGAATGAATGAGATTGAACACGTCAAGTGAACATGCTTGAGCTTCCGTTTACCACAACTGATGAGTTGATGAATGTTTATAATAATAGTCTAAAATGAACTCATATTTTTTCGAATCATTTGGTTCATTCAATGAACGAAATGACTCGAAAAAAAGATTCATTCATTTTGATGAAAGAGTTCCAACAGGAGAGTCACGGCTGGTGTCGTTTAAAGCCCTTTGAAGCTGCACTGAAACTCTCATTTGAACCTTGAACCGTTTGGTTCCCATTGAAGTCCATTATGTGGAGAAAATCCTGGAATGTTTTCATCAAAAACCTTAATTTCTTTTCGACTGAAAAAAGAAAGATATGGACATCTTGGGTGACATGGGGGTGAGTCAATTATCAGCAAAAGTTTTTTTTTAAAAAAAAAGTGAACTACTCAGTCATTCAGACAACCCAGAACTAGTCGATAGTGAAAAACTCATTTTGGTAATTCGCCACATGCACTCACTGCATTGCTCTTGTGGGTTATTTTCTTTGATGTCGAGGGACTTCTGGCGGCGCGCTGCCCGGGGGCCGAAGAGACGTGTCCAGTTCACTGTGTGGTGATAGCACAGCTGCTTGTTTCCTGTAATGTAGATGCCTCCGTCACCGATTCGTTTGAGAGAGCGAAGACCCAGGGACTTCAATGTGGGAATCTTCATCACCAAAAGAGAGTAACCTCTGAGAGAGAGAGAGAGCAAGTGGAAATGTCATTTAAAAGATAAATGAGAAATAAAATGACATAGTACTTAAAGTCAACATGAAATTAACTGACCCCTATTTACTTGCTTAATACAAGTTGCTGGTTTTATTGTGCACAATTTATTTGTGCACATTATTCTAAAGAAGAAATGCAAGTCCATAGACTCCCAATATAGAAAATCAAGTCTAATAGAATATCCTGTGTATGTCAGTAAGAGAGTTTGAGTTATTCTTTTTTGTTTGTTTGTTTTTGTTTTGTTTTTAGCTTTAATGATTTCATTCAGACATACACTACTGTTTAAAAGTATGGGGTCGGTGTGATTTTTTAAAATAATGTATTAAAAAACTAATCAAAAATGTATAAAAAAAACCAGGAAAAACAGCAATATTCAGAAATATTATTATAATTATTACAAAATAACTGTTTAATTTAGCTAAATCTTCATGAGCTTATTCCAGTTTTCAGTGTCACATGATCCATAATATGATGAAGAAACATTTCTGATTATTATCAATGCTGAAAACTGCTGTGCTGCTGCACTGTAAAAAAATATTTTCATGATTTGTAATCACAACATTTTTTATTTTGTCAAATCAACTTAGATAATTGCTGTAGTTCAGATAACATAATATTTTGAGTTTCTGGTGATTAAATCAATCTCCTTCGTTGAATTAACTCAATTTTTCCATTTCAATGAACTTAAAATTTAAACCAACAATATGTTTTACAGTGTGGAAACCATGACACATTTTTTTCAGTATTATTTGATGAATAGAAAGTTTAAATAACACATTTATTTGAAATATAACTATTTTCTTTCATTAGAAATATATTTACTGTCACCTTTGATCAATTTCATGCATCCTTCCTGAATAAAAGTATTTATTTAAAAAAAAACATATTTTACTGACAAACTTTTGAATAGTAGTGTATGTCATTTAAGGAAGTAAAATGAGTTGTGAACAGCATTTCATGTTGACTTTAAGACTCTTAAAAAATGCTGCAATCGGATGACTGCAGAATCAACTCAAAAAACAACATTGCTCCCATCTACTGTACTTGCATGAAGACCATATATTATTTAAACAATGTCTCAAGAGTTTCAATCCTGAAATCAACATTATAAATGAGTTTTTTTATGATAAGCAGAACACTTTCCATGTTCTCCAGCATGCAAGATTTCCCACCACCATTCAGAAGCTTAGAAATACCACACCACTGAGCTGATAGTAAAGCACGTTTAAGCAATGCACGATGTGATATCTCACGCTTTGTATGAATATATAGAAGAACAATCAAGTAAAGGGAGAAAAGGAGTACAAGCTGAACACACAATCCTACCTCTTAGAGCTTACTCCTCTGGAGGGACAACAAGACAGGAGCATGAAAATTATTAATGAATTTAACACAGCTTCTAGAAATATCAGGCATCAATTATTATGGTATTGTAATATTATTATTTATTATTATCATTAATATCACTGCTTCTAAATGGCTGCTAGGCTGCTATTTACATCTTCATCCCAGTCAAAAAAAAAATCACACCAATGTATCCTGGTCCAAACCTATTGATGTTTTTCAGGCTGTATGCTCACCTGTACAGCGTTCGTCCTTGTATTGTTGCTAGATTTGAGAAGACAGAAAGATCTTCCAACTCTTCGGGCCAAGACTGAATACTCAGAATGTCTATCAAGTGGACAGAAGTGTTAGTTAGATTGTAGAAATCACTCTTTCCTTGCTCAGTTTTTTTACTTATGTCTGTTGATGTTTAAATGCTGTGCACTTCATTTTTGCACTTGTAATAAATAGAAGATTGCTAGTATCTCAGCGTGTAATCCTTTTTTTTGGATACGCAGCAAATTAAGTTTTTTAATTTTTTTGACACTTTTTGGAAGGATTTGTGTGTGTTTGTGCATGTGTGTATGTGTTAATTTCTCACCTGTTATTTCTCTGACAGTGTTGAAGATCTTCAGTTTCTTTGGATCAAGAGCACTGATATTATTGTAACTGTCTCTGTGGTTGAAAGAGAGACACATGAAAGGTTGGATGAACACCTTCAACTATGGACACTGGCCTTTAGAAGCTTTGGAAAATCAACTCCCTTTCACAAGTTTATATGCCCATCTAATCTTAGAGGGGCTCGTAGAGGATATTCTACTCAAGCTCAGATTGACCCCTATTATATAGGCAAAAAACATAAAGGAGGAGAAGGGAGGAGGAGGGATGCCGAGGAAGTGGCAAGAGGCTGTTTTTACACCCTTGTAAAAATTAGATTAGATGGGCGTACTCCTCCTGAAATTATGTTTATTCAATTTGTCCTCCATTTGAGGAGAACTCATTTTTGTCATGAACATTTCAACCACCCGGCTTTTCAAATGATGTATTGTTTAATTGCATTCTGTGGTGGAAATGATAGTGAGGGCATTTTAAACATTTTCTTTGTGAGGTTAATTTCTTAACTATACCATACTGTAAGGATTCTTAATAAACACAATGAAACAATATTTTCTAATTTGATCAAATTACAGCATGTTTGGAAATGGTGCACAGTAAAAAACTGCTTACAACTGACAATTTACTCACATTTAATTTCAGCAGATTTATTTTAAATACGAATCTTCTTCCACTCACCCTTTAATTCCCGTTACAAGGAAATGCAGGCTGCCCTGAATCTTAGTGCAGTTTATGAAGCTGTCGATGTTCTGTGAGTCTACGGTCTGTCTGGAAGGTGGACCAGTGCCAACGCACGCTGCACAAAGAGAAGAAACAAACAAACACGGTTATGATTGAGAAGAACACACATAAAGGAGATTTTGATGGAGCACTTCATTTTACAGTCCTTTTCCCTATGTACAAACTATGTACTTATTATAGTAATTACAATAACTGTGTAATAACTAGGTACTAACCCTGAACCTAACCCATGTAGTTACCTTATATTACCCAATAATCTCTTAAGTACACCTACAGTAAGCGCACATATTGTAAATGCACATAATTGCTTATTTTTCAATGAACAGTGATGCAACTTTTAATAAAAATGCCAAGAAATGCAACTCATCTTTTGATACATAAATCTATGAAGAGGAGTGCCATACATTCAGTAAATCCCTCATAGAGAAATTCTATATAGAATTTTTTGCTTATGTTTTTTTTTTTTTTTTCTAGGTTTACATTACATTACATTTCTAGTTTGGAATAACAAAGATAAAGTTATTTATGGTTTTGAAACGGTTTTGTTCTTTATAGTAAGCTTGCCAAGGCTGCATTTATTTTATTTAAAAAAAAAATACTGTAAAAAAACAGTAATATCGTGATAAAGAGCATTATTATTACATTGTAAAAGAATAGTTTTTCATTTTAAAATATTTAAAAATGTAATGTATTCCTGTGATGCAAAGCTGAATTTTCATCATTACATTTCTTCTTATTATAACAATTTATTACTTTTTTTATTATTATCATTGCGGCTAAATATATTTGTGGAAACCATGATACATTTTTAATAGAACAATATTTATACATTTTGTACAATTTTAAATGTTTTTACTGTGACTTTTAATCAATTTAATGCACCCTTACTTAATAATAATAATAATTTAATAATAATCATGATTATAATAAGACATGTTATGACTAATGATGCTCAAAAAATACATTTTTAAAATATATTACAATAGATTTACAATTCTCTTCAATTGTGATAATATTTCACAATATTTCTGTATTTTTTTATCACATAAATGCAGCCTTGGTGAGCATAAGAGATTGTCGAAAACATTACATTATTCCAAACTTTTGAAGTCAATATGTTCCCATTGAAGATATAGGTAAATAAAAGTGCGTATGTTACCTTTTGGACAGAGTCCCCCACACGTCTCACATCTTTTCAACCCCTTTTTATCCACCTCCATTTTGTTTGCTGGACAGCTGCTAACACATGAACTGCCATCTACAAGAAAGTTAGCTGAAGTACAAGAGAACAGAAGTCAAACAATTAGATTACACCATAAAGGCCTATTTAGGTTTCGAGACTCGAGAGTGTGGGATACTCAGTTGACATAATAACCTATAGGCTACACTACAGGTACAGTAAATGCACTCCGTAACCCATGAGATGACATAGGAATCACTTACGTGGACAATGTGATACACACATTGTGCCGAACTGGTATTTTGCATTAGGATTTGGTTCCAATTTGAACGTCACTTTATTATAGATGAGAGCCTGGGGACACTGCGGCACACACGACCCTGAGTTGTTAAAATTTCTGCAGGCCTGTGAACACATACAGTCGAATCAAAGCAAGCAAGGCTTGATTCATAAAGTTTTTATGTTAGCCTATGAGTGATGCATGTTGAAGAACTGGTGTGAGTTCGTTGAACATACAAAGCAGTTGGTGTCGAGGGGACCGGTGCAGCCGCCGGCACACTCGATGTGACAGCACTCGCTGGGGCTGCGTCCAAAACAGCGGCCGTTACACTGCGGTGCACACACTGTCTTCGTCACTGAGAACGGGAGAGAAACAGAGTGAGTAGTGTGTGTGTGTGTGCGTGTGAGGAACAGAAAGCTGAGCAACATGTCTGTGTGTGTGTGTTTATGTGTGTGTGTGTTACTACTTAACCATATTTTGGGGACAAATTTGTACCCAGAAACGAGCTAAACCTGATAAAACCTCATTTTCGGGATGTCCTTATTTGTAAAACAGCATAAAAATAAAGCAAATAAAGTTGTTATAAACTGTAAAAATGCAGAATGTTTTCAGTTAGAGTTAGTGTGGGTTAGGTTATGGTATTTATTCCTGTCCCATTTAAAAATGCTCGACGCGCCCTTTGAAAGATGCAGCCTCTGAATTGGGACACAGCTAACGTGTGTGTGTGTGTGTGTGTGTGTGTGTCCGGTAAAAAATGACATTTTTTGTTCCCCATGAGGAAAACCTATTAATCAGACTAAATTATATTTTTTGAAAATGTAAAAAAGCTGAAAGGTGATGTGTAGGGTGAGGGGTAGGTATTGGTTAGGGGGTAGAATATACAGTTTGTACAATATAAAAATCATTATGTCTATGGAACGTCCCCATAAAACATGAAAACATAATATGAGTGTGAGTGAGACTTACAGATTTGACAAGTGTCATTTCCTGGACCCCAACATCGGGCGCTACAAGACTCATGACAGCGCACTAAAGAGAAAATGCATCATAATTTATACATTTCCATAAGATCATCAGCCCAAATTAAAAGTCCTTCTATCAATTTGGCTACAATACTAAGCCTTCTAAACTATATATTATCAATTTTGATCCTCTGATAACATTTATTTATTCAAATTGTTTAATAAATATTTATTTATATATAGTTATCTATTAAATATATATACACTACCATTCTAAAGGTTTTGGTCATTAAGAATTTTGTTTTGAAATAAATAAATAATTTTTTTAAAAAGTATATTGCATATTGTCTCCTTACATTCTGGTCCATTGTCTCCGATGATGACTTCTGCTCCACTGTCTTTCACAATATCTAACCAGTTAATCTGCGGCGCATAACTCAAGAATTTATTCTGGATGATCTGCACTCCCCCCTCCAGGATCTCTGTGGATCATAATGAATTTGAGAAATATAGAAATATCAAAGACAGAATCAAAACTCAAACATGTTCTCTAAACTCTCAAAAAAATAATTTTTACGAAGTGTAGAATTTTTTTTCTTGGGATTTTCAAATTTACTGAAGACAATTTGAGTGGTGCTTCAAAAAGTCCCTGCCACACACTCTCAGAAAAAAAAAAGGTACAAAAGTTGTCACTGGGGCTGTACCTTTTCAAAAGATACACTTTTGTACCCAAAGGATGCATATTGGTACCTTAGTGGTACATTTTAGCACCTAAAATGTACAGATTCACACCTAAAATGTACATATTAACACCTAAAATGTACATATTAGTACCTAAAATGTACATTTTAGCTCCTGAAATGTACATATTAACACTTAAAATGTACATATTAGCACCTAAAATGCACATATTAGGACCTAAAATGGACATATTAGCTCCTGAAATGGACATATTAGCTCCTAAAATGTACATATTCGTACCTAAAATGGACATATTAGTACCTAAAATGTACATATTAGGACCTAAAATGGACACATTAGGACGTAAAATGTACATATTACCTCCTGAAATGTACATACATTAACACCTAAAATGTACTTATTAGCACCTAAAATGTACATATTAACACCTAAAATCTACTTATTAGCACCTAAAATGTACATATTAGCACCTAAAATAGACAAAAGTTTACCTTTTGAAAAGGTACAGCCCCAGTGACAGCTTTTGTACCTTTTTTTCTGAAGGTTTTATGAATGTTTGCTAAGGTTTTGTTAGGGTGTTCTGCTCAACAAGCCACATTCGAGGAATTATTTAAGTTCGTAGCACAAACAGTACAGAACATTATGTGCTTTGAGATTTTGAAAAACACCTATGAATAATCAAACATTACTAAGATACTGTACGTACAACTGTGTTCGGTTTTAAAAACAAGGAACTTTCATATTGATTCTACACTTTGAGTCAGGAATTAGTAAGAGGTTAAAGGAAGGGCATTTTAAAGGATGACAAACATGTTCATTGATTCACACACTCGGAGAAACACAATGGAAAGATAAAAGCACACGGATTGCATTTCACATTAGACATGTCGTGTTTGCTGAAGCAGGTCGGGACATGCTCTAGTCTAACTGTAGCCATCTAACATCAATCTCCTGGATTTTTTTTTTTTTTTATATATATAGGAAAAGTATTTTCCTATAAATCACAAGGGACTCAAGGCACTCACAAGTATGTGTCACTCTAGGATTGGGTTCATGATGGGAGAATGCTCATTCGTGGTTGAACAATTTTTTTTTAATAAACCACACACAAAAAACTCTCTTCTGTTCGTTGACTCATTCTTCTATACCACACCCTCCAGAGTGTCTTGTTGCCTTGAAAACTGCGTGGGTGTTTTGACTGAATGGGTTTCTGTGGGTGAGAATGTGTCACCTGTCATGTATATGTGTTAGCGCACCTGTCAAGTGTGTGAGGCCCAGCTCCTGTAGTCCATACACTCCATCCTTCTGGTAGTTGACGAGGACGGCCAGAGCAAACCGATCTTCGTACAGTGACGTCCCGCGGATGACTCGCAACTGTTCCAGCGGTAAACGTCTGAACTGGTTTATAGCAATGAGGATGTATCCTGTTACCTCACGGATAGACTGTGAAGAGACAAAATGAAACATATACAACACACTCAGACATGGGCCCACACATATGAATTAGGTTGGACTGATTTTGCTTCATTCATGTCATAGCAGTTCTATTGTTAAATCCTTTAAAGGGATAGTTCACTTTGAAATTCATTTTTGGTATGTTTTAGCTTATTACCTCAAGGACATCCAAGATGTAGGTGTCTTTATTTCCGCAGTATTTTCAATTTTGATATTTTTAGGTCAAACAATTCTTGTCTGTCAGTCATATAATGGAGGTCTATGGTCACCACCTCAAACAGCATGCACAGAGAAGTCCAAACTAAATTTGATTTAATGACTCGTAAATGTAAGTACACATTGATGGCCTAAGACACGAAACGAGCGGTTTGTGTGAGAAAATGAACAGTATTTATATCGTTTTTACCTCTTGTAATCACAGTCACGTCTTGTAAACCGGAAGAGATCTCTCGCGCGGTTGCGAAAAAAAAAATTCAACGTTGTCTGTTGATATATGGAAATCGTCTTCCATTGCAATTTCCTATATATCTAAATATGTTTAGATCTTCACAGTGAAAGGTAACACTTCTGAAATCTCTGTGTAAACAATGAGTGGCGTACACCGATGCGAAAACCGATGCGCCCGCGGCCTCAGATCACTTGGACGTGGCTGTGGTTACAAGAGGTAAAAACAATATAAATACTGTTCGTTTTCTCACACAAACCGCTCGTTTCGTGTCTTAGGCCATCAATGTGTACTTACATTTACGAATGTCATGTTTAATTTGGACTTCTCTGTGCATTTTCTTTGAGGTGGACCCCATAGACCTCCATTATATGACTGACAGACAAGAACGGTTTGACCTAAAAATATCAAAATTGAAAATACTGTGGAAACAAAGACACCTACATCTTGGATGCCCTTGAGGTAAGCTAAAACACATTAATTTCAAAGTGAACTATCCCTTTAAATCCTACAAAAATCGTCTCTTTTCCCCACCTGTAGGAATGAGAAATCACGGTTGTGCTCCATCTGTGTGATCTCCAGGTTTCCTATGACAATCTGGCAGCCCGTGTACATCTCCTTCATGAGCTTGTACTGGACCTCAGAGGTTCCTGTCACACTCAACAAGTTCTGAGTGCCGGTACACATCGCCACTATAGAGAGAGAGAGAGGGAGAGAGAGAATGAATGAATGTATTGTTCCAAAAACAAATACAATATCATTCAAACGTTTGGGATTGGTAAGATTTTTAAATGTTTTTGAACAAAGTATGTAATTCTCACCAAGAATGCATCTTTTTAATAAAAAAAAATGCGGTAAAAATTTGAAAATATTTTGTAATTTATTCCTGTGATGGCAAAGATGAATTTTCAGAATAATTCCCCCAGTCACATGACCTTCAGAAATCATTCTAATCTACTGAGTTACTGCTCAAGAAACATTGTTATCAATGTTCAAAACAGTGTCTTTCAATATTATTTGAAATATGAATTTTTTACTATCTTTACTATCACTTTTGATCAATTTAATGGATCTTTGATGAATAAAACGATCACATTTTACGAATTACACTTTTAAATGGTAGTGTATATAATACGTTTCTATTTAAAATAAATATATTTATATATTCAAATATTTCTGTATTGCTAAAGTGGATAATGTCTATAACAATACTCCCAGTGCAGCTAATATTTAATATGCCCATTTATATATTTATGCGGCAAGAAGCCTTGTATTTAGGTGGATAATGAAAATAATAACCGAATGACAGCACATAATGCCTTATTTAATGCAAAACAAATCTTAAAATGTGCATCAGCTGATGATAACGCTGATACAGCTGTTGTCATTTTTCTTGCATTGTTGTTCATTTAGTGACAGTGGGAAAGACTGAGGGAGTTTGAGGTGAAGCTATTTTGCATTTCAAATTTTGCCCTTGGTTCTGTCACGGTCAAAACAAGCCATTACTGAGTGGGAGTCTAGGAAAGAGTATTCCCGCTAATACACCAATAGTTACTCGGAAAAGGCCTCGGGAGATTTTACTAATTAAGAGTTCTTAGCAAAATGGTCTATTTATGATGCACTAGGATCAGAATGCAATAAAGCATTTGATATAGCAGAATCACCTACCCTATCTCACGACCAATTCGTACAAATTCGTACGAGTGATTAAAAAGTGACTAATTCGTACGACCTCACTTGTACGAGTGAGATCGTATGAATTGTTACGAATTAGCCATCTCGTAAAATTCGTACAAATTCCCGTGAGATCGGGTTGGAATCACTCATCGATAATGGCAGGTGTGTAGAGCTATGGTGTAACTTTGCCATCAATCTCACATTTATATCACCAGTATCTAAAACAGTGTTGGGGGAAACACATTACAATAATGCGGGTTACAAAATCAGATTACTTTTTCAAAGTAACTCGTAAAGTAACGGTATATCTTTAAATTTCCAACAAGTAATGCAAGTTTTTCCATGTATTGGCTTATTCATTTCACTTTTGGTGTGAACTTTTGGTGTCACTTTTCACTCTACATTTACAAAATAGGATTTTTGTCATTAAAATCAAGCAAGAAAGCCCAGCGGTGAGACAAAATTTCACAAAAGTCATTTATAAAAAGTAACTACATGCACCCTCAGAAAAAAGGTACAAAAGCTGTCACTGGGGCTGTACCTTTTCAAAAGGTAAACTTTTGTCTATTTTAGGTGCTAATATGTACATTTTAGGTGCTAATTTGTACATTTTAGGTGTTAATATGTCCATTTTAGGTGCTAATAAGTACATTTTAGGTGTTATTGTCCATTTTAGGTGCTAAGTACATAGGTGTTAATATGTACATTTTAGGTGCTAATAAGTACATTTTAGGTGTTAATATGTACATTTCAGGAGCTAATACGTACATGTCAGGAGCTAAAATGTCCATTTTAGGTCCTAATAAGTACATTTTAGGTGCTAATATGTACATTTTAAGTGTTAATATGTACATTTCAGGAGCTAATATGTACATTTTAGGTACTAATATGTACATTTTAGGTGTTAATCTGTACATTTTAGGTGCTAAAATGTACCATAAGGTACCAATATGCATCCTTTGGGTACAAAAGTGTACCCAAGTGTACACCTTTTGAAAAGGTGACAACTTTTGTACCTTTTTTATCTGAGAGTGTATAAGTAACACAATTAGTTACTTATTAGGGGCGTAATGCAATATTCTGACGATTATTACTTTTAAAAGTAACTTACCTCAACACTTTCTATACAGTATATATATTTCTAATCTCATAAATAAAGCAAAACATCTCTCCATTTCTTACTTGCCTCACTTGCCTGCTACTCTGAGCAATGTTTGAACTTTGTATTTTGAGCACTTCTTGTGTTATTGCCTCTAGCCTCTTCACAATGACTTGTTTGATTTAGTCCTTAGACGTAAGTCGCTTTGGATAAAAGCGTCTGCTAAATGACTAAATGTAAATGTAAATGTAAATTTCATTGGAACTGAGAAACACTGGCACTTACTGATAACTCGTAAACTGCTAACAGCATTACAGAGTCCAACAAATGGACCTAAAAATGTCTTGTGAAATGCAAACAGGTGTTCAGTCCAGCCACGAAGGTGTGATGTGTGGGTCAGACATCGCGCTAATATGCTTTTCGGAAAGAATTCCCATCAGGCCAGTCTTGGAAACCTGTTGGCTCTTATCAAACTTCTCCTTTTGTAAACGCAGTGAATGTTTCACCCATACACACAGCACAGTGTAAACACAATTCACATTTAATATTTTTAAATTAGATTTTATGTTTATCATTCTGTTTTCACTTTAATTTTGGTTACAGTTTTAGTAATTTTGTAGTGTTTTTTTTTTTTTTTTAAGAAAAACGTTATTTATTAGATTTAGTTTATTTAGTTTAGCTATTTTAGTACTTCAAGTTAAACTGAATAAGAAATGCTTTCTTGGTAACTAGCTGAAATAAAATAAGTGTAATTTTCTTTTTAACTTTTATTTTATTTCAGTTCACCTTTATATTGTTTCAAATAACAAAAATGTTTCAATTGTAATATTAGTGAACAATATTAACCTTAATTTATTCCTGTGATGGCAAAGCAGAATTTTCAGCATCGTTCCCCCAGTCATCATTATAATCTGCTGAATTACTGCTCAAGAAACATTGTTATCAATATTTAAAACAGTGGTGCTGCTTATTATCTTTCAATGTTATTTGAAATATGAATTTTTTACTATCTTTACTATCACTTTTCATCAATTTAATAGATCTTTGATGAATAAAACGAGTACATTCTTGAAAAAAAAGAATAAAAAACACACTGTCCCAACACTTTTAAATGGTAGTGTATATAATACATTTCTATGTAAAATAAATATGTATATTCAAATATTTCTGTATAATGATTGCTAAAGTGAATAATGTCTATCACAATATTATTTAACAATATTAACCTTGAATCATTCACTGAGATACTGAAATGATATGGTCTTAAGTGGATCTTTCCACTGGGTAAAATGTTAAATCAAATTCATTATTTCCTTTAACAAATCTAGTTCCTGGATATGTGAACTGAGAACTTGAACTGATAAGATCTTGAGTTAAAGCGCAGACTTTAGGGTGATATGGCCAACAATGGGCCAGTATTGTCACAAACGGCTTCAGTCAAACCAGATGTTTGCATTTTCAAAGTTAAAAAAACGCATTGAACTTTTGCCTGCTCAGATTATCCTTGAGGAAAAAGACCCCAGTAAACGACCCTCACACGTTTCCTCTGAAGTTTCAGAACATAAAGTGTTATACACTGTGTTGGGATCTCCCAAAACAATAAAGTCTGCAATTAAAGTCTACAATAATGAAACTTGTCATCACATCAAAACTATCCATTTTTATTTCCCTTAAGAAACTTTAGGAGAAACATTTGTTATACTTAAAAAGTGGCCAAACTCCAGTCTCATGCGTTATGATATAGCCACCTCTGAGGTTTGCAATTCTCGGTTGAAGACAGAAACCATTCAATGGAAGCAGCAAAACTGCGTTCCACCTGTAATGATCCCGTACAGCACAGGACAGTAAAATACAGCTTTGAGTAAAAAAAAAAAAATCATTAAATCCCACGGTGAAAAAGAAGCATGTTTAATTGAATGTGCTTTTAATTAGTGTACTTATTAACGTTTTTTTTTTTATTGGACTTGCAGATAATATAATATGAATGAAATAAACGTCCACTTATCTAAAAGTTTTACTTTAAAGTACATTTTAAATCAATATGTTTAATATTTTTAAAGAAGTACACTTAAGCACATGTAATGTACTTATTGTTAAATTTTAAAGTCAATCATTCAATTACAAATATATTTAAGTAAGCAATAAGGTACGAGAGGCTGTGCTGTATCGTGAATAAGTAACGGCTGAAGGCCGTTGTTAGGCACGACGCGAAGCGGAGCGCAATTCTGACTTTATATCTCGTAATTCTGACTTTATATCTCGTAATTCTGACTTTATATCACGCAATTCTGACTTTATATCTCGTAATTCTGACTTTATATCTCGCAATTCTGACTTTATATCTCGCAATTCTGACTTTATATCTCGCAATTCTGACTTTATATCTCGCAATTCTGACTTTATATCTCGTAATTCTGACTTTATATCTCGTAATTCTGACTTTATATCACGCAATTCTGACTTTATATCTCGTAATTCTGACTTTATATCTCGTAATTCTGACTTTATATCACGCAATTCTGACTTTATATCTCGTAATTCTGACTTTATATCTCGCAATTCTGACTTTATATCTCGCAATTCTGACTTTATATCTCGGAATTCTGACTTTATATCTCGCAATTCTGACTTTATATCACGCAATTCTGACTTTATATCTCGTAATTCTGACTTTATATCACGCAATTCTGACTTTATATCTCGCAATTCTGACTTTATATCTCGCAATTCTGACTTTATATCTCGGAATTCTGACTTTATATCTCGCAATTCTGACTTTATATCACGCAATTCTGACTTTATATCTCGTAATTCTGACTTTATATCTCGCAATTTTGACTTTATATCTCGTAATTCGGACTTTATATCTCGCAATTTTGACTTTATAACACTCAATTCAGACTTTATATCTCGCAA